AATCTCACTATAAAGTTTTAATAGTATGCTAGCATGCAACGTAGGAGTATGATTACGTAATAGTTATTTCATTTTTCATAGTGATCTTTGTGACGCAGCCACGAAAATAATGTCACAAAATTTATGTGACTGATTTTGTCAACTGTATCACACGTGACATTTTTTGTAGTTATACAGAAAATCTTTTATATAATTACGGTTCTAGTTTGATTAATAATAAACTTTTTTTTGAAAATATCAGTAAAAAAAAGCCATAGAGAAAGTTAATCGAATTATCAATAAAATTATAATATTATTCTTTGCTTACTATAAAATAGTCCAGTTTACGTGTATTTATGTATTAATATTTAATTATTTTTTGCTAAATATGAATCGTAAAGTAAGACAAAGTCAGACAAAAGACTGCTTTCGTCTTTTAATTCCTGAATTCATTTCAGAAGGGAGAGAAAAGAGGAATGAAAAAGAAGAAAGAGAAGAAAAAAAAATAAGAGAAGAGAGAGAAGGAAGGAAAGAGAGGAAAAAAAGAGAAGAAATAGAAAGGAGAAAAAAAGGAAAAGAAAGAAATGAGAGTTAACAAAGTCGAATTACAGCTCAAAGAATCACAAGCATGTGAGTAAATCTCCCGAATATCCATCTGCCAAAGTCATTTTCTAGAGTCAGTCCTAGTATTGATAATGAGCCAGAAAACGATAACGGTTATTTTTAATATTGATTCATTTGATTATCACTTGATTTAATTTTAGTTTTTTTTATAACTTTGTTAATTAAATATATTAACTAAGTTTCCAATTTTCATTATTCACTAATAATTTGTAGCTATACCAGATATAATATCAGAAAACGTAAAACTAAAAGCACAAAATAAAGAATTACAAAAGAAGATAGAAGACCTAGAGGAAACAAATAGAATTTTTATGAATGTTAATAAGGCATTCAGTTTAGAGAATGATCAACTCAACGAGAAATTGGATCGATACAAGTCACTTCATTAGCCAAGAAACATGCGGCAAGATGAAGATCGATCATATAAGCATCAAAAAATAACAAAAAAAAGTAAATGATCGATCAAATCTGATTATTATAATAGTAGTTCAGATAAAAGTTCAGATTGTACGCAAGATAATGCATGAATTATTGAAGCAGATGGAAAAAGTGCAAGGGTTGTATGATTTATATAAATAACTTTTATATAATCATTATCAAATTTTTATTCTTATGGGCAATTTAGGTGAAAATGAAAATCATTTTAAAGACAATACCTACAGAGTGCGATTTAGACTATAATGAAACATTTACAAGCTAAAAGAACTTGAAAATAAGACGGAAGCTGATTCCAGAACTTATCAAAGCTTTGAAGCTGAATTACAATCCTTCATATGATCAGATCACCAAGTGGCTCAAGTCACTTCATAGGTCCAGAAGAAGCTGAATCAATTACAAAAAAAAAGGTCAGATTGATGACGATGACTGTCGATTACATGCAAATGGGCGACTAAATGAAGTATGAATTCTGGTTGGTTTTTTAATACTCATACTAACAACTTTTATATATATATATACAATTTGTAATTAGAAAAAAATTCGTCAGATAAAAGGTGCAAAATCACTTTATACGACGAAAAATTCTGAGGTTATAGAATATGATCAAAATGAATTGATTGGTATATTACGGAATAATAAATATCATTATCCTGAAATTAGTGAAACTGATGATGAAAACCTGTCAAGCAAATATGATCGCTCATGGCATTCTAACGAGGTTCCATATTTATTTATCCTTGTCATTTATAATATATATATAGATTTACCATATTAGCTTATTTTATTTTTAGTTAAAAAACCTTTTATTAAATATATTGGATCTGCATTCCTTGACGTTACAAACTGCTTAACTATTGAGACCTCATGTATATAATGATAATTTGCAACACTTTAATATTTCTCCTTCTTCAAATATTCTGAACTGTACTCATGTTGAAAGTGATCATGATGAAGCTGATTCAGACATAAAAAGAAGTTCCAAAAGTCAAGGTATGCATAGTTCAGATGAAGCAGAATCCTTAACTGCTAGAATAGTCTGAGGTGCAGATTTAGGCAAGGTACTACTAAAGGTGGTGAGTATATTAAAAGCATAGCGTAATTTAATATTTTTTCTGAATTTTTGCTAATATTTTTTATTTTTCAGGTAATTGATTCAACATAAAATTGGTTAAAAAGTTGGTATAAACAGAGCAAGAGATATTAATAGTAATAATTTGTAGAAGAAATTTATAATCTTATTAACATGAATGTATAGCTAGTAGTTATGTTAATTTGTAATAATAAATTTAACGATTTGCATCATTTGCGATTAAATATAATATATCAGATAATCGAAAGTCAGCAATTCGATATAAAAAGTATAGTGATTCGATATAAAATACTCGGTAATTCAATATAAAAATGCACAGCGAATCAACATGAAATACTCAGTAATTCAATATAAAAAATATAGCGAATCAACATGAAATACTCAGTAATTCGATATAAAATGCCTAGTAATTCGATATAAAAATGCTATCTGAATATTATTTGAAAGCTATATGAATGTTAGATCGAAAATTATGCAAGTGACAGTCGAACTGTACCAATTAAAAAACCTTTCAGTAACAGAATTCTACCAGCTTTCAGTTATAATTCAGGCCAAAAATGGCTATACAAAAGCTATCTAAATTGGAGTATTTCGACTAGTAAATATATTGAGATATTGATGGTTAAGGTTTATGAAGAGGAACATTCCAAAGTTCAGCTATATATAATGGTGAAAAATTACTCCAATTTCCAATATGAGGTAATGGTCTAGCATATATATATCCATTATATTTATCTTGACATGACCATTCCCAATAAAATAATTTAGAAATGCCTTTGATTGTTTTAATTCTTGATTTCTTTTTTGATTTTTTTGATTTATTAGTTTCTTCTAATTCATCATCATTAATATTTTTTCCATCCAAATTATTATTTCGATTTTGTTTAATATTAGCTAACATGGTACTGGATAAACCTTTTGCTGCTTGAATTATATCTTCACTACTTGATAAGTTATGTCCAATTCGTACATATCGCTTAATTGCATGTATTATCTAGAAACAATGGTAATCAAATTATATTATAACTAATTGATTTTATTGATTTGATAAAATAAATTTGATTATACTTACTGTTGCATGATGTAAATCTACAGTTGTTTTTGCTTTTCCAGGTTCAAGAAATAACCAACTTCGAACTTCAATATCATAACAATTATACCAATGACTCATAATTGCCATAAGTTTTTAATTATGATAATAAGAACCATTATTTGATATTATTTTTATCCATTTGGGTTTTTATCTATTGTTTCAAAGACTGCTTCAAATGCTGAAGCTGTAAACCAAGCATCTTGTTTGATATATATTGATCAATGATCATAAGCTTTGACATCTAATTTATCTGATTCTATTTCTTTTATAAAATCAAAATAGTATGTAAGGTCCATCCACACTTTCCAGAAAAATCCTATTTTGTTTTAAGTGCTAATTTTGGTAATACCCGTATTTTATAATCAGCGACAATAACTGCACTATTGAAATCTAACTCAGCTAGTGTAGCTTTGAATTGGGCATTCAAAAACACTTTACAAGCTTAGTATGAAAAATAATATAATAATTGGTTTTTTGCTTTGGTAAGTTGAGATTGGTAATCTTCAGAAATATTTTTAGTCATAAAATCAAAAAACTTAAAAATAAATTACATTTTAAACATTGCATTTCATGTTTATCATTGCATTCTCCAAATGCAAATAGTAAACAATGAGATATACAAGGATTATGAATAATTTGACCATCAGGATTAATTATCAATTCTTTTTCAAAACCACGTCTTAAATGTCTTTTCAATTCATCAAGTTGATCAAGAATTGTATTCTAATAATTATTTCAGATAAGTGATTTTTATTTTATTCTATAAAAGCAATTTATATAATTTTAAACAATAACTAACCGTAATTGTTTTATTTTCAAAATTGCTATGTATTATATTAGCCAAATCTTTAAATGTTTCAAATTTATAATCATTACATATTTGACATAAACCTTCAAGATCATAACGATATTTCAAATTTGCAGAATCTTTTAAACATGTCATAAAGGTTGTTCTTTTCATACTATTTGGATAAGTTTCAACAAATTTATTTCATAATTCCAATTTTTGATCACGTTAATACAGAATTAACAATCCTGTTTTTACATTTATTTGGTAAGAACTCATAGTTATATTTTCACGATCTTGAAAAAAAATTACAAATTGTTCTTCTTGTATATTATTTAAATGTTGAGCTGTTCTTTTTATTTTTTCTAAAGATAGAGCTCCTGAACTATATAATCGAGTATGTTGTTATGCTTTATTTATAGTATGACTAGATATCTGAATAAATAATAAAATCAAAAATTAATTATATTATACCTAAAATTATATAATATTATATACTATATTTACTTATTGATAATTCTTGTATTATATCTGTATATTTAAAATTTAGTGCAATAATAAATAAAATATGGATTTTACCATCCTGATCTCTTTTATTTAAACTAATTGCATCTTGAAAACTTTTTCAAAATATTTGTGCTTGTTGAGTAGTAGTTGGTAAAGAAATTGATACGAAATTTTCATTATCAATTTGAAGCAAATTAGCTTTATACAAATTGTTTAAAATTTGTTTATCTGCTTTATCATCATAAGCTCTACTCCAAAATTCAACTTGAGATTCAACACATAAAAAAGGTGTTATATTAGAATATTCACATACTTGAAATATTGCTCACTATACTCTTAATTCTTTATCTTGTAATTCGTAACCATCTGGATATATTTTAGCTAACACAAGTGGAAATTGAACAATAGTACTATATTGTTTATACCAATTATAAAATAAAGATAGCCAGTTAATTATTGTATTTAAAATTTTACATATTTTAATATGTTGATTATATACTTTCATAAGTATTTCATTATTATTCCATTCCTTCAGTTTACAAGTAACTAACTTATTATCTTTAGATTGTAAAAGTTGTTGTATAGATTCATGTGTAATTCCAAAGATATATGATCCAAAAAATTTTGTATGTACGCCAACTTTTTTTCAAACATCATCTAGTGTAAATCCAATAAATTGCCAAATCTTGTTAGAATCTAAGTATATTTCCAAAAGACATTAGTTATCTTCTAGTTTTAATAAAAATAAATGTTGTGCATCACAATATCATGTAATAAAAGAAGAAACAAATCCTATTCTAGCTCCATAATATCTATCATTAGAATCATTAAATGAATAGTCAAGATCTAATATTACAACTAAAAATTTTCAATTTGAAGAAATATTAGACAAAATTCTACTTTTTCTAGCAATTGTTAAACAATATTTTCATTTTTTAAACCCTATAACAGCTACACCAGAATATTCAGTTTTAGTACCAAAAACTTTTTTATAACAGGAATTTATGGTCGTTAAAGGATAAGATTCTATCTCTGAACTTATATTTTTACAGGTACATAAAAAACCAGGTTTGTATTTATTTTTATTATTTTGAACAACTGTAATGGTAAAGTCTTTACTATTAAGGTTGCAATTAATACGCATATATAAATAAAAGGGTACAGCTAAAACTTTGATTTTGTTTTCTAATTTTAATGAAACAGGTTCCCACCAACTTCGTGCAAAAACACCATAATGTAATTCTTGAGCAATATGCCTAATTCCTAAAAGGTTTAAAGTAAAGCGACGTCTCTTAGACATTACAATTATTATGAACAACTTAACATTCAGAAATGCAATTTTTATTTAATAAATGTCTGTCAAATTTTATTATAATTTATCAATCATTTTGATCAGTTGACTTACAGATCATCAATTAATTTTTTTTTAGAATAAGCAAAAAATTTATTTGTTCTGAATATTTCCTATATATTTTATTAAAAAAAATAATAAATTAATACTTTGTTGAACCACCTTTGGCTACTATATATGCTTGAATACGACAGAGCATACTTTCAACCAAATTTTAAATATACTCAAGTAGAATTGAACGCCAAGCATATTTTACTTTACATTCTATATCTTCTACATTTTTAGGTTGATTATGCAAGTTACGAAGTTTCTTATCAACTTCATTTCAAAGATTTTTAATAGGATTTAAATCGGAGTTTTGTGCAGGCTAGGGTAGTATAAAAATCTTAGAGGCATAGCGAATATTAGCAGTAATCTTTGCTTGATGAAGTGGAATATTATCCTCTTAAAAAATTCCTTGTTTGCAAGAAACTAATTTGTAAATTGAAGGAATAGTATGTCTCTGTAACACTTTTACATATCTTTGTCCTATTACAGATTTGTGAAGAAGAACAAGAGATTTCAGCCCATATCACAAAAAGCATCTTTAAAACATTTGACTAGGACTGTGCTTTACTGTAGCAATTAAACAAAAAGGATCAAATTCTTCTTTTGTTATATGCCACACATGTAAATTATGACCTTATGAAAATTGGTTAAATATTGATTCATCAGACCATATAATTTTCTTCTATTTTACAATTTTCCTATCTTCTTATTCCAATGACCAAGCCAATCTTTTTTCTTTATTATTTTCAGAAATTAATGGTTTAAAGCGAATAACATACGAACGTAAGCTAACTTTTTTAAGAGTCTGACGAATTGTAACAGTTGAAACTTACTTTTTTTTTAGTCCATAATTCTTAAATTTTTTGAGTAGTAAGGCGATGATGCTTTAAATTTTGTGTAACAATCTTTTGAGTGAAGATTATGCATTTGAATTAAAAAGTGATTTCAGACTACAATATATTTTCAGTATTGCAGAACCAGTTTCTTTAAAATGTTTTATCGTATCATAGATAGTTGTTTAATACATTGAATGATATTAGCAATTTTTTGATATTAATTACCTCATTTGTAGCTGTAAATAATTGCTCCATATTGTTCAGCATTCAATTTTTTTATTTTAATCAATTTTATTTAAAAGAAAATTATTTGTTATTATTGTGATCG